AGTAATCCACAACAGTAGACTCTGGATTTTTCCCATCATACTTCTCAAAGACTGAGTGCATTGTGCCTTGCACATCAGTTTTTACCTATTTGGTGAGGGAAAAAAACCAAACATTTTTTTTAACATGAGAGCTAAAAATTTTATCTAGGGGAAACTGCAAAAGATTGGTATCCCAACTTAGTCGGGGAAAGAAAAAGATTTGAAAAAATAAAAATCACCAATGTTTTAGATAAAATGCAGGTAGCACTTATGCAGAATCAGTTCCTGGATAGAAGCTTGCCTCCCCTGATGGAAGAGCCCTCCTTTGTGAGTATCAACAACTGTTTAATCCGCCTTAGACACTGCTGCAATGCCTGCCAGGTGCTTTATGTATTCACACATTCCTGACAAAGACCGATCCACATACCGCATGGTGACATCCCCATTCCCACTTGCCCTGCAGACTCCAGGAGATGGGATGAAGTGCAAGAAAACTGGATATATTGGAATGCTCTAACAACGCAAGATCTATTACTTACTTTTAGGTTACTACAGAGATGCTAATTCTTTGCTTACCTTTTCCCTATAAACAAATCCCAGGACAAAAGCAGATACTTCCGCAATAAAGATAACCAGGATAATGGCCAAGAACTGAAATTAAAAGAGAGAGACTGTAAGGAAAAATTCCTCAGCATTTGAATTCAATTGCGCATTACCCTTCACATTATAGTGGTAGGTTATCGTTATCTGTTGTTGCCTCTCCAACCAAAATAGTTTCCAGAAAATACTTTAGAATAGGTGATTTCTGTGCATGGCTGGGACTACGACTGCGGTTCCACAGGATCTGTGCCCAATGTAGGCAGTCTCCTGAACACTGCCATGATGTCATCTGTGTGAAGAGCCTACAAAACACTTCACAAGGTGGCTGATGAACAGGAGACTGCACAGATAAACCAGCAGCTGAGTTAAGTACGTTGGCACTTCTTGCTGAGCTCACATCACCTTCAAGGCATGAGTTGGGGGCCTGAAGTTACTCAATGTAAACTTTTCTGGCTTTCCAAAAATCATTCTAGTGGAGGCATACTTTAAGGCTTCAGAGAACTAAAGTCAACAGGAACAAGAAATTTAAAAAAAATAATCTTGTTTTGCTTACTTCAGAAATTCACCTCTCCTCCTGTTCCCTCACCACCACCTTGCTTCTCAAAACTTGCTACTGTCTGCACCCATCTCCAGTGAGCAAGCCAAGGCAGAGCCAGGAATCTGCCTATGACTGCACCTATGTGTCTGTACAAGGCAGTGCAACTAATCTTTTAGCTTGCACCTCCCTCACGATGAATCAGTGCCTCACAGCGGTACGTAACTCCCGCAAAGGAGCAGTGTTTCAGCAGTGCATTTCAGAATAATCTTTTACTTTCTGTTCTGTGCGTCCTGCACAGGTCCAGTGTAGCACCTCCCATACCATGCAACAGGGGGAAGAGGACATGCAACACTCACCAGCCCTAGGCCAACTCGAGACTCCCGGAAGGTGGCACAGCAGCCAATCAACCCGATGATGAACATTACCACAGCAACGCAAATAATGATGACGGCTGGCAGAAGAGCATACTTGTCCTGCAAGAAGTTGTCGTAGCTCTTGTAGGTGTTAATGACATATCCCCCAACATAGCTGAGACCTGCTGCTGCTGCCTGAAATGCAATAAAGTTATTAGCAGTTAGTTATTAAGCATCCGCCCAGAAAGTAAATATGGACCTTTTTGTAACAGTGCAAGTAACATTTCAAATTTAGAAGCAATAAGTACAGAATGCAAAGATCTAGAAGGAAAAAAAAATAAAAAAACCCCCACTCCACTACTAACAAAACACCACTGTATCTGAGCTAAAACACTGGAGTCTGTTGACATACATCAGCCAGTGTCTCTGCAGAAAGCCAAGTTCACATTGCCTACCCAAGATTACCTACATCTTACCCAACACTGCGTTTGCAGGAATTGACTTTTAAGGTGATCATCACAGAGGTGGGCTGTTGAGTTTGGAGCGGTTTTTTGTTTGTTTTGGGTTTTTTTTGAGAAAAACTCATCCTTTCCACTCTCGCAACAGCATTAACCACTAAGGCACAAATGTTCCTAATCTCAGCAAAACACAGTCCCTCCTTTTCCTGGAGGAAACAGATTTCTGCATCCTCTAAAATAAACTCTCCTCCAAAAGGATGTTTTGCCGATTGAGGCCATGACTGACAGCTGCCCAACTAGCAGCCCTGGAGACTGACGGCTTTGATCCACAGAACTGAGTACAGCCCTGGAAATATCACCCAAAGGCTCAGCAATACCCTGGTAATGCCTCACCAATGGCATAAAAAAAAGTTCTCTCAAGAGTTACAAGAGCTCATCCACCCTCTATAATCCTGCAGCACAAGATGCTGCCTGTAAAAATGAAGCACTGTCCATACTCACGTTCTGGAAACTTGAAGGAAACCAGTCTGTTTGTTTTCAGTAGGCTACAGCTGGATTTCATCATACAGTTTATGAGCTGTTTGTTACTTCCCCCAGTACTGCACATTTTAATTAAATCAAACACTCCTCACATTGGAGCTAGGACTTGCTAATTCCTTTGCCTTGTTTGGCTCCTTCCCCTCCAGCCAGGTCTGGAGCCTGCCCTTCAATTATCTCCAAGTACACAGGACATCCTTCATTTCAGACAGCTCTCATCCCACACCACTCTGG